AGATAAATGTTTGAAATTCTGCTGTGACTTTCTAACTGTCATTGCTTTACTAAAAGTGAGTGCTTTCAAAGTGTGCTTGAATCTGAAAGAAAGGGAATGGATAGAAAATTCCTGACCAAGGCAGAATCCATGAATTTCACCATTTTGTTGGCTTGGCTTATTTTCTTGCGGCTTTCTAAGGCTTTTCCCTGCACCTGACTCACAGTGCTTTCCAAATGTGCTTGAATTTGAAAGAAAGGGAATAGATAGATGACTCTAAGCAGAATACAAGAGATCTGGAGTTATTTTAGAAAAAGAAAAAATCACATCTGTTGAGTAATTATACTACTCAAGTCTGTCTGTCTATAAAATTCTGTGACATCTGTTAGTTTGTCCATCTGTCACACCCTCTAAAATAGCCATACACTGACCGTTTGAAAGCAAATTTTTGAGAGAAGTGCACATAGGTAAGGTGTGTACAAAGTAAAGTTTTAGTAGGGTGTGTAATAACCATGAAGTAGGTTTTTTGTCAAAGTATTTTTCCAAACAAATCAGCTTATTCAAATTTCATTGATTGGTTTGCAAAAGGTAGAGTTTGTAAGTCTTAACAAAAAATGTTAGCAATAACTTCAACAAAACTAAATACTGAGCAGATTTTAACACGTATCAGCATGTTGGAAAAAAATTCTAGCAAGATGAAAATTCCCTTTTTGGTAATTTTTGTATTTTCTGTTTTATTAAACCTTTTTGTTTGTTTACTCAGCATTATTTATAATGAAAACTAAAATTTTGTATTTCTTCATATTTGCTAATGAGGAATGAAGTTATTTTTCCTAAATTTCTCAGTTCATTTGCATTGACTTATTTTGCCCCTGTTTATCTAATGTAAGATTTCTTAAACTTCTTTCAGCATACTTGTTTATCTTACCCAATAGTCTTGGCATACACCCTGTGAAGAATATAGAATAAAAAAAATATTAACATATTTAATTTTTTATTAGCAGAAAATACATACATAGTATTTGTTAGAAATTTAATGTTACATTTTTAACAAGGTGGATAAGCTAATTAAAGGTAGTTTAGAGGAATATGCTTGCATATTATTCTCAATTGACAGTCTTGCATGAAATTTATTTTTGGTTATAAGCATTAGTAAATGGATGCGAAGAAAGTCAAACAGGTGCAAATATCTGGACAACCCAGAGAGGTTTCATTTTATTGAATCATCCTTTTTGATTCATGTTGTATTGCTCAACTGTATGCCAGGTTTACAAGACACATAACTTCTGATTTGCTGTTTGTGATTACTTCAAAGTTTTTATAAACCCCACATACACCTATAATTTCTTTTTTGCATCTCAATTTGAAAATACCTTTTGCTCTAATTTGCTCTATATAAGCCACCAACAAGAAATCAATTTACTTGTTGATCTTCTGTTTATGTTTCTTTCTGGATTTTTACAGGTTGTGGGTGTTAACCAAACTTTTATCCCTTCCCATTTGAGCTTGGGACTGGCATTGGTGCTATTTTATTTTGTTATTGAAATAAATAAAAAAAAAATGTGTAGGACATTAATTTACATTGAGTTCCTGCTTATAAACCAAAAGATCTATGTGTAAATTTATATCTCAATTTAAAGAAAAGATACTTTTATTTATTTATTATTTTCTTTCAAATTTAATGAAACACCAAGAGGTTTTTAGTTTAAATTTAGTGGTGAATGAAAAAAAAAAATCCTTTGAAGACGCAATGTTTTTATCAGCCATTATGGAACTTTCTTGAATGAAAATCTTCCCTCTGACACTTGTCTATAAGTGAACTTCTTTTTCTTTTCAAAATATAAATAAAGCAGATTTCTCAGTCTTCAAAGGGGGAAAATAGGTATCTAAAGTATTTATGGTGCTTGCAACTTATATAAAGTGGAATGAATAATCATATAATATTTTTCCTTTTATTTCCCGGATCACACCATAAGATGTAATATTTTTTATGAGAAAGCAAAATCTTTCTTATATGTTGCTTCTTCCAAATAGTCTAGCATATAAAAACTTGAAGTTTTTTCCGAATTTCTGTGATGTGGATTTATCATTATTTATATTACTTATGTTTGGGAGGGTTAAAGTGTTAGTTTCTGAATTTGGTGCCATAGTAATTATGAGTTCAATTCCTGGCCAGGTAGACTCAGTTAAAACTGAATGTCAGTTGAATTTATTACATTCACTTCCATGCCAATACTCTTGGGAAAGGTATAAATCCATCTCTTCTCTCCTCAGCTATGAATAAATAACAGGACAGACTCAGCCCTATATCCTTGGTTGGCACTCCAATATAGAAAATCTGAATTTGAATCAGCTTGAAGATGGTTGTGCACTATCTTGCCCTGTTTTTGTCTTATCTGGTTTTCGCATGTTGAGAAAATCTCTCTCGACTGAGAAAAACCTTGGTGTTATATAGCTCTCCCAGTCCCAGACCCACACTGACTCACACTGACTATTGGCTAATACTTGTCCAGTATCGTTCTTATGCAAATAGTCTGCACCACCTACTCGAAGTACGTCTTCTCTCAGTCCACTGTGGAAGGAGACACAACTCCAGGTGCTTACAGCACCACATGCAACCAACTTGGAGTCTTTTATCAGGCCGACCCGATTCTCTGTTACATACCCAAGACACACTACTGTTGCTATAATTGCAGTATATGTGGTGCTCCTATGAGCCTGATGAGTTATGGAACTTGTGATCATGACTAAAAAGACAAGATATCCCTTGGCATAGATATTGGATTGAGAACAATCTAGCCCTGTAGATTAAATAAAGGGTTCAGTTCAATATTCTCTGAACCCCGAAGTTTACTTGGATTGAAAAACATTTGAAGAAGGCCTGGACTGAACAATGGCTGAAATGTGATAACAAAGATAAGGACATTAGTCAGAAGTGAAATAAAAGCTTTATGCTGTTATCAAAACAATATTCATCAAAACCTGTTAAATGATTACCATTTGTAGATAAATTACTTTAATAGAAAACCCTTACAGTAATAAACTATCTGCATCTTGACAAAAAAGAAAAAAAATAATATTTCCAATTGTCTCCATTTTTGATTTTACAATTCAAAATTGTAAACTGCCAAAAATTTTGCTTTCAGAAGAAAAAACAAATGCAATTAAAACCGGGAATAAAAACAATTTGTTTCTAATATTTAGTTTAATAATCATTTGTAACTTGTTTTGGTTATGATCAAAGCTTAGAAGATGCCATAAAAAAAAGAAACTAATAAAAACATTGGAACTATTTAAATGTTGTCGCTCTTGCATGGAGTATTGCTGCCATATATGGTCTGGGGCACCTTCTGTTTACCTCGGAGTTCTTGACAAGATCCAGAGACGGATATGTAATATAATTGGCCCTGATCTGGCGTCTTGTCTACAGTCACTCTCTCACAGATGCGCCGTCACCTCTCTCTGTCTTTTCTACAAATACTTTCATGGTAATTGCTCCGATGAGCTGCTTTCACTGGTTCCCAGACTCCATGAATTCAAGCACCCTACGAGGCTGGCATCCTGCTCCCACCCTTACACTGTAGAAACTTTTAAATGTAGCCATGTCTTCTACTCCAATAGCTTCATACCTCGCACCTCTCGCTTGTGGAACGCCCTTCCCAATTACTGTCTCCCAAAGAGCTATAATCTCCAACTATTCAAATGTAATGTCAATCGACATCTCCAGTTACCTTGATCTACCCACTATCTTTCTCCTCATCCTTTCTTCTATCACTCCTATCTGCTCTTGATCCAAATCTTCTGTAACCCCCGGCATCCTAGTGGCTTCACACCTTGCTCGGGGCGTAACGCTTAAAAAAAAAAATATGTATATGGTGGATCATTATGTTTGCTACAATTATTAGCAGAATTTGAATCTGAAATTTTCTCTGTATAATGTTTGCTCAAAATGATCTATAGATAAGCATTCATTTAAGTGCATTGTGCAGAAGGGTTTTTTTTTTTTTTTTTTTTCATTATTAGGCTGTGTCACCATGTCATGGATCCAATAACCTATATAGTGAAAATGGTAGTTTTATAAATATGTAAGATAGATTCTTGTGAGAAAAAATGTCTAGTGAACAAACTTTCCTAGCTGCAAACTTTTATTACTAGTTTCATTTATAATTGGATTTTTTTTTTCACTATCATTTTATTACTAGTTTTACATCATCTTATTATTGTTGCTTTTTAGATGAAGCATTTTCATTATTATTATTTTATTACTAGTTTATTACCATATGCTTTACCTAGAGTGTTGTGATAAAAGGCAACAATAAAATGAAATAATAACTAGTA